TATGTAAAGTGAATAAATAGAAAGGAAAGAAATGGGTGTGGTGAGGCCTGTGATCCCAGCAGTCAGCATTTGGGACTGAGCATTGTAAGCTCAAGGCCAGTATGGCTGCATAGCAAGGCACTGTCTCATAAAAGTTATATTTTATACATACACAGAGAGACATGGAGACAAAGAGCTAGCTTGTCACAGTCCCTGACATTGAGGCTCTTATATATTTGAAATGTCCTTGTCTTCTCCCTGTTTGGATTCACAGGGCTATGCTCAGTGAAGTGTGAAAGTTATGTTTGAGAAATCAGTTAACCCAAAGCACTGGCTTGTTCTAGATATTGTTCATTGTCAGTATAACAGATGTCTATTTGTTCTCTTGATTCATTTACATATTTTAGCTACTAGGCAGTGGGTGTGCCATCATATCCAAATGATTTCTTATAGCTTCCTGGGGTAAAATAATCATCCCATGTAAACCGGTCCTACATACATATATGATCCTTAAATGACCCAGGGGAGACATAGCTTGTTTCTGGATATGGCTCCTAAAAAACCTGATTTAATAGTATTGCTTATGGCATAGAATGGGCACATTTGATAGCTTTCTCTTCAGCCTCAGGCTATCTGTTCTAAGGGAACTGAACCGTTTTTAAGGTTCATTAGCAGTAGTCCATCTGCACAATGGACTCTCAAGGTTGAAATGGTGAGATACGGTGGGATGCCTTTCAGCACCAGGGCCCGCAAATGCCTGTTAAGTTAAAATGCCACTGGAGTGAAGACACATTGCTAATTGTGACTGTTCTCCCTTCCTGAGGTTTTCTGTTAAAATTTGGGAAAACATGGAGTCAGGAGTTTGGTTTGATTAGCCTTATTTAAAAAACTTTCATAAAATTCCATGCACTCTTCCCAAAGTTTGGCTATGAGTCTCAGCCTCTGCTTTGGTACCTCGATCATGATAGAAGAGAGAGATAGAAAGACCTGAGGGGACAATAGCTTTAAAAGGAGACCAACAGAGCCAAACAAAACAAAACAAAAAAACCTGGGCCCTGGGGGCCTTGCAGAGACTGACACTCCAACTAAGGACCATGCAGTGGCAGGCTCTCTGTTCACCTCCCCCTGCAGGGGTGCAGCCTTGCCAGGCCACAGAGGAAGATGATGCAGCCAGCCCTGATGAGACCTGATAAGCTAGGGTCAGATAGAAGGGGAGGAGGACCTCCCCTATCAGTGGACTAGGGGAGGGGCATAGGGGAGAAGAGGGAGGGAGAGTGGAATTGGGAGGAGATGTTGGAGAGCATGACACCTGGGATACAAAGTGAATTAATTGTAATAAGTAATTGATAAAAAATTTTAAAAAACTTAGGATGCAATTTCTACACTAAGGCCGTTGAAAAGAGTAGGTGGAAAGCTTTGAGGGTCAAAGGAACAGGGAGGTTGCTGTGAGATTGTGTTTTCTGGAAGCAACATCCATAAAGCCTCACCAATAGGATTGCTTAAACATGAGCTGAACAAGGACAACAGCAATAGACGTCCTAGCATGGACAGAGGAAAGCCCAGGAGGCCTCAGCTGGGCTAAGAACTGCAGGCAACAAAGGGATGCTGAGAACAAGAACAATAATAGTCTTCCCTAGGGACAATCCCACCAATTAATTATCCCATACCACACGGTCAGCCTTGCTCTATAGTGAGGAGGTTGTATTTATATATTTCAGAATATATGTCTAACAACAATTAATGAAAAATAAATAGGCCATGAATTTGAAAGAGAGTAAGGAGGGTCTGGAGGGAGAGAAGGGATGAGGGGAAATGATATAATCTCAAAAAAAACAAAAAACAACCAAATAATTATAGCAAAATAAACCTTACTCATAGGCATGGCTTTAATCTCAGCATTCAGAAGGTAGTTCATGGCCAGCCTGGTCTACATAGCAAGTTGCAGTTCAGTTCCAGTGACACTCTGTCAAAAACAATGCAAAACAAACAAAAGCCAACCAACAACAACAACAAAAAAAAAAACAAAAACAAAAAACCCCAACTTATAATGGATATCCTCCTAATAAATATTAAGTTAGACCAAATTGTTAACTCCACACATCCAGCCTACCAAGATAGGAGGTCCATTTGGCTCAGCCCTGTGAGTTGATCTTAGTGAAGAGCTAGGAAGAGGGCACTTCCCTCTCCCTAGGAAGAGGATCTGTGGTTCAGGCTTTTTAAAGGGACTTGGTATGTTTTTCATGTCCTAATCCATTTATTACTATGAAAACAGTGCGGAGCAGTTCAAAGAATAAGAACGTCTCAGAAGAAAGGAGGGACAGGAAGTCAGGCATCAAATCTGAGGCCTCAAAGAGGCCAAGCATGTACTCTACCACTGGGAAATCTTATTTTTGGTTCTTTGGTTTACTCAGAATATTGCCAGTGGCCTATTAGGGGCTTTTGCTTGTGCCATCCTTTTGTTCATTCTCTGAAAACCTGCCATTTGGTAGGCATTATCCTGGTTTAGGGATGCAGTGATGAACAGCAGTCTTGGTCCTTCTCTCACAGAGCTTGCCTTTCTATGTGAGATGGAACCATGTGTGTGACAGCGCCAAGAAGGATTCCATACAAGTCTTTGACTTGCTTAGTTGGAGTTACACCAAGGAACTTTATGTTCTTTGTGGCTATTGTGAAGGATATTGTTTCCCTAATTTCTTTCTTAGCCCATTTGTCTTCTGTATACAGGAGGGCTACTGATTTTTTGAGTTAATTTTGTATCCAGCCACTTTGCTGAAGGTGTTTATCAACTGCAGGAGTTCCCTGGTAAAATTTTTGGGGTCACTCATATATACTATCATATCATCTGCAAATAGTGATACTTTGACTTCTTCCTTTCCAAACTGAATCCCCTTGATCTCCTTTATTTGTTTTATTGCTCTTGCTAGGATTTCCAGAACTATGTTGAAGAGATATGGAGAGAGTGGGCAATCTTGCCTTGTTCCTGATTTCAGTGGGATTGATTTAAGTTTCTCTCCATTTAGTTTGATGTTGGCTGGGAGGAGATGAGGGAGGGAGGGAGGAATTGGGAGGGGACAAGGTGGGGGTTACAGCTGGGATACAAAGTGAATAAATTTTAAAAAATAAACAATTATATTTTTAAAATAGGATTCCAAAGGATTGTCTTTTCCCTGCTTCTTTTGGTATGGAAATTTCTGTTTATTAAAAGTGGTCATAGTGTAAATATTGATTTTCTATGTTGGTACTTCTTCCCACTACCTGTAGCTCACATGTTTAAACAATGAAGTTGTTTATATATTTTTCCTATTATAAGTAACACTGAGAAAATCTGTTTGGGGAGCACATTAAGTAGGTGGGCTAAATTGCTGAACTGCCCAGTAGAAGTGTATTATTAAAGAATTGTTCAAATGGTGTGTGTTCTTAGGATGCTCCACAATACAGAGACTTCAGGAGTGTTGGCTCTGGCAGCTGTAATCTGCCTACTTTACAGATAGGCATAGGTCAAGGGCTTTAAATGGATATTCAGCTATATTTCCTAAGCCTGTTTTGTTCTATTTGTTTTCTTTATTCTGTGCCTAACACCTTTAGTCTGATTTTCATGTGCTATTAGTTGAATATTTTGAGCTTATTGGGAAGGCTTTGTAAATTAAGGAAAAGGACTGCTTGCTTCTGGGTATTGGCAAGCCAACAGAAGTGGTTTGCTCTTTAATCACCCGAAGCAAAAGCATTGTGGCACATAAAAATCATGAAGTTGGGCCGGTGGGATGACTCAGGGGCAAAGCACCTGTTGTGCAGCCTGAAGAACTAGTTTAGTCCCCAGAACCAAAACAAAGTGGAAGGAGAAAACCAACTCCAGCAAATGGCCACTTACTTCCACATGCCTCTAATCCCCCCCAAATAAAACAAATTAAAAAATGTTCAGTCATGCAAAGCTGAAGTTTGCAGTAGCTCTCTAGGACAAAGCACTTACTCCTATGTTGTTGGTAATTGCGTTTTTACAAGATCACTGAGTACTTGCCAGCACAGCTTTATCAGCTCCTACACCCCAAACTATGATTTGAGCCATTGCAGAAAATGCCTGCCTAATGCCAGCTTTAAAGCCTCCCACAGACTTCCCTTTTGCCATTTGGGTGGTAGAATCCATTGGGTTTTCAGGCCCTTACCTGCGTGCATGGTCTGTTTCCCCTACAACTGCCTGAAAAGCAGCTCATTCTCCCCAGAATTCATCCTCATCGTGCTTATTAAAGCAGTATATGCCATCTTGTTCCTGGAGCTGCTTTGCATTGTTTGGTGCTCTGACAGTGTGTTTTGCCTTCTGAAGTATCTCCTGGACTGATTTCACTAATCCTGTCACACCCTGATGTGGGCTTCTACCTTCCTGCTCTCTCCATTTGACTGTTTTTTTTTGTTTGTTTGTTTGTTTTTTGTTTTTGCATGTCCCACATTTTAAATGGAAGGAACACTTTTGCTTATGTAACACTCTGTGGTAGTAGGAACAGTCAAAGCTGTTGTAGTAGGTTGTAGAGTATAAATGCTTCTGAGCTCTCTACACTAACAGTCCAGAGTGTCGATTTGGCAGGGGTTGGTTATGCTGGGGTATGGGGTTGGTTAGGAAGCAGGTTGACAGAACTCTACCATCTTCAGTTTGTGGCTTCAGTCACCCCAGACTTGGCAATGTCTGTTAGCTGTCGGGACATGGAAAAGATAAATCGAGTGCAGAATAAGATGTTTGGTATTCATAATCTATTGGAGAACATGGGCCACCCTGACTGCAGTGGAAGCTGGCCTGATTGCTGTGAATGAGAGAAACTGTTGGTTACTTTTCTGCTGCTTTAAATAAAACAGCATGACTAAAAGCAATTTGTGGAACAAGGAATTTATCTTGACTTAGAGTTCTGTGGACAGAGTCCATCCTGACAAGAAGACACAGCTGCAAAGGGCAGGCATTGTGGCAGAAGCAGGACACCAAGAGATCACATCCTCAACCTCAAACAAAGGAGAGAGGGAACTAGAAATGGGGTGAAGCTCTAAACTCTCACCGAGCAACCCCTAGTGTGTGCTTCCTCTAGCAAACCTGTAACTCCCAATAACCTCACCATATAGCACCACCAACTGGGACCAAGTTGTCAAATATGTGAGCCTAAGAGGGACATTTTTTTTTCCCCATCCAGGCCACCATAGACAGTTTCTGACAAGTGTTCTGTCTCCAGGAGGCTTTGGGGTTACATGCTTTACTGTATTTGCTGAGGAGGCCAAGTTTTGAAAGATTTATACCTGGAATAAGCTTAATTATCTTATTGGGGGAAAAAATCTGTGCACATTTATTTAAATTTTTTTATTACATCCATTTACTTTGTGTACACGTGTGCATGACACACTTGTGAAGGTCAGAGGACAACTTGCAGAAATCCCTTCTCTCCTTCCACTATGAGAGTCCCAGGATCAAACTTGGATTGTCAGGGTTGGTAGCAAGCACCTTTACCTGCTGCTGAAGAACATGCTCCCACATGTGTTAAGTACAGAGGATTAGAGCACTTTATCCTTAGTAGACCCCAAGTGGAAGCTCCCAAGTGCCTGTCAACAGATGAACATGTAAACCAACCATTCTAGCAACTCCTACATGTAGTTTTTAAGATAATTCTTTGAATGAATTGTTTGTAAATTTAATGTATGTACTTTCAGGCTATTGCACATTATGAACAATCTGCTGATTATTACAAAGGAGAAGAATCTAACAGGCAAGTGCTTTTCTTTATATCAGTAATGGGCTTTTCATATATGACAAAGGACACATCATCTGTTGTCTGAGCATCTCTGCTGGAAGCAAGTGTCCTTTGGCCATGTCTCTCAGTATCATCACTTACTCTGTACTGTCCTACTTTCAGCTCTGCTAACAAGTGTCTGCTGAAGGTGGCAGCCTATGCTGCACAGCTGGAGCAGTACCAGAAAGCCATTGAGATCTACGAGCAGGTAAGGACACTGTTGTCACCTTGACAAAGTTTGTAGCCATCACTACTCCCTAACACTAGAGCCTTCCCATTACTCCCAAAAGAAGCTTGGAAAACACAACCTGCTCTCTGATTCCCTGGTTTGACCCTTTCACACCTATGGAATACTATACCATCTGTTCTTCTGTGACTGACTTCGTTTTCTAGAGTCTTCATATTCTAACGTGTGTCCATGTTTCATTGCTTTGCATAGCTGAATAATACCCTGGCTTATCTGTTTATTTGTTGCTAGGCATTTGGGGAACTTCCCCTTGGGGCCACATGCTTGGGGGTGGAGTTAGGATTGGTGGGCTTCTTGGTACACCCATGCCTACTTTGCTGAGGAGCAGACTCTCACAGGGTACTGGATCACTGAGCATTCTCAGCACAGTGCCCCGGGCTCAGCTTCTCCAGTCTTCACCAGCGTCTCTCTGTGATCCCTAAAGAATATGAAGGGTCATCTATCTTTCTCTTATGATGAGTGATACTGATTTTCATGGGCTCACTGGCCATTTTCCATCTTTGGAGAAATTTCTGAGTCCTTCATTTTGAGATTTAGGAGCTCTTTAATCTTAGGGTACAAGTCCTGTATGATCAGTATAATACTTACTTACAAGCAATTTCCCCCATTTTACGGATTTCTTTTTTGTTCTGTTGTTTGTGTTGCGTCATCTAGTTTTTTTTAATCTTTGAAATAAATTTTTACATTTGTTTATTTTGAATGTGTGGAATATGTGAGTGCCACCTATGGAAAACAGGACAATTTGAAGGAGCTGGTTCTCTCCTCACTGTGTGGGTCTCTTAAATCAAACTCAGTTTTTCGGGGTTTGTTGTTGTTTTTTTGAGACAGTTTATCTGAGCCCTGGCTCTCTTGGAACTAGCTCAGTAGACAAGACTGGCCTTGAACTCACAGAGATCCATCTGCCTGTACCTTCCCAAGTGCTGGGATTAAAAACATGTGCCACCACCAGCTGGCTAAACAAGGTCTTACGACTTTGCAACAATCACTTTAGAAACTAAACCATCTCCACAGCCTCTACATTTTTAATTTTGTTGTTGTTTTGTTTTTCCAGACAGGGCTTCTCTGTGTGGCCCTGGCTGTCCTGGACTCACTCTGTAGATCAGGCTGGCCTCAAACTCACAGATACCTGCCTACCTTTGCCTCCCCAAGTGCTGGGATTACAGGTGTGCACGACCATGCCTCGCTTACATTTTTAATTTTTATGAACTCTAATTTGTCTTTTTCTTTTCACTATCTGTACTTTTGCTGTCACATCTAAGTTTAGCTGAATTGAAGATCATGAATCTTTAACCTGTGATTTGTTCTGAGTCTTAAGATTTTTGCTTAGTGTTGGCATTCCTGCTTGGATGGAAAGGTATCCAGGGACTCAAGAGCCCAATGTCCCAATGAAAGGGCATCCTGAGACATGGGAGCCCAGGAACCACACAGCTCTGAGAGGAAGCCCCCTCAGTAGAGGCATTGCAGCTCCCAGGGGAGGATATCCCCAGCTGAGCTGAGGAGCTCACGAGCCTTAGTCCTGCTCCACTTCTTTGCTTCTTCCCTTCTTTGCTTCTTAGCTTCTTTCAATGGGAGAGTCACACCAGGTAGCAAATCTCATAAAAGAGTTTTATTGGGAGGGTCAAATCCAGGGCTTGGGGGAGCTGAATCTAGGGGTGGCTGCCCCTGCTCCTGGGAGAAGACAGCAGAGAACTGACAGAAGGCAAGGCTTGTATAGGATTTCTTAGGGGCAGAGCTTTCCAGGGCAGAGATTTCCAGGGTGAGGATCGGTGGGATTTGAAGTCCTAACCTTGGGGGAGCTCAGGGGTTGGTGGGATTTTTTTTTTTTAATAGGGTGAGACCTGTGTACTCTCCTACCTTAGGGCTGGGAATGACCCTTAGAGCCATTAGGGAAGTCTGGTAGGTGGGGCCAGCTATTGGAGCTCCTCAGGTGGGGGCCTGGCCACTTCCCTGCCCTGAGGGTTTACAAAATTTAGAAAGCATGCCAAGTTTACAGAGCCCATGGCAGGGGCCACTTGAGTCAGCATCACTAGCCAGCACTTAGGTGTAGGTCTTTGATCCATTCGGAGTTAAGCCATTTGTGTGCATGTTAGGCAGGAGACCCCTCTCTCTGACATATGAACATCACTTTACTCATTGTTGTTTGGTAAATAGACCCTTGCAAATGAATGGTCTGAGACCCCTGCTGAAAATGTTCTCACTGGTTCTGGGGAATTAATTCCGGGCTCTGTACTCCATCTGTTTAGCTTTATGCCAGTATCACTTTGTTCTGATAACCATATTTTTATAGGGAAATTTGAAATCACGAACTGTCAGTCTTGTAGTTGCCTCTTTCTCAAGATTCTTATTCTGGATCCCTTGAATTAACATAAATTTGGAGATCAGTATGTTATTCTGCAATGAATCTAGCTTCACTGTTAATGGGTCTTGAACTGGCTGTGTGAAACCCAGTTCAAGGAGCAAGGTTCTCTAGAAAAATAGAGCCAACAGATTGGGGTACAGGAAGAAGAGAGAGGGATGATTTTAGGGGTTAATTCTCAATGGTAGAGGTTGATGGCCCAGATCTGCCATGAGAACAGATGGTGTGAGCCATAGCCCAAATACAGAAGAGCAGCGTCTCAGATCTAGACCTGCCATGCCAGATGAGGAGGATCAGCCCTCCTCTGCTTAAACTTAAAAAGTAAAATTATTACATTTATTTATTTATTGGGGCGAATGCCAGGACTACCTATGGAAGTCAGTTCTCTGCACCATGTGAATCCAGGAAATGAACAGGCTTTCAGGCTTGGTGACAAGTATAAAACCTGCTGAGCATCTCACTAGCCCCTTTGCTTACACTTGTAATTGGTCCGGGCATCAGTTGGCTGAGACCTATCTCTGTTGGGGAGGGAAGTCTGCTTTTCTCCTCTGCTGATTGAAACACTAATCTTGTTCAGAAACATCCAGGGTGATATTTAGCCAGTATCTGGGCACTCATGGTCTGCTCATGTTGACACAGAGAATTTATCCTCAGGGGGTATTGTCAACTGTGAATATGTAGTCTTATGATCTAGATATATATTACTTTTTGCGTTTGCTGTTAAATATTTTTCTTTAAAAATAACTTAAAGAAGGAAAGGTTTAGCCAGATGTTGACATGCCTTTAGTCCCAGCACTTGGGAGGAAGAAGCAGGTAGATCTCTGAATTAGAGGCCAGCCTGGTCTACAGACAGAGATCCAGGACAGTAAGGGCTACATAGAGAAACCCTGTCTCTAAAAACAAACAAAAATGAAGAAGGAAGAGAAGGAAAGATTTATTTTGGCTTACACTTTAAGGGTATAAGTCCTTTATGGTTAGGAACTCATGGCAGCAGGAACATGAGGCAGCTGGTCACATGACATCCAAAATCAGGAGGCAGAGGGTGGTGAAGGCTGATATTCAATTCGATTCCTCCTCTTTATTTATGTCACAATTAGGGTGGGTTTACCAAGGTGAGTTCACCTAACTTAGAAAATCTCTCACAGACATGCTCAGAGGCTAGCCTAAGCCAGGTAATCTAGCACAGGCCAAGACCAAGAGCTTGCTGCTTAGATAATTCTAGATCCTGTCAAGTGGAAAGTCCCATTTATTTGTTTGTTTGTTTGCTTAATATATATGTGTTGCAGAATATTTGATCCCATTGTGAACCCCAAGATTGTGAACTGTAAAAAAAAAACCTGTCTTTTGTTTGGCTCAGCCCTGGCACACACCTTTAATCCAAGAGCTTTCTGTACACAGGATTTAATAAAGTTAACCCAAGGTCAAGAGTTGGAGCAAGAAGCCAGCTGACAGGGATTAAATAGTAAGGAGAGGCATTGGAAGGGTATTTAAGACATTGTGGAGAAAGTGGTTTTTTTTTTTTTTTTTTTTTTTTTTTTAGTACTTTAGCTCTCTATCTCTTCATCTTTTTGGCTTTTAGCTTTTGGCTTTTTCCTCCTGGGCTGTTCAGTGAACTAGTAGGTGTTTTTCTCCTGGGCTGTCAGCTGAGCTAGCAAGCTTTTTGCGTTGGGCTTTTAGTTTTTGGCTTTTTCCTACTCAGGCTGTGAGCTGAGTAGGAAGGTCAGCTGGGTGCTTTCTCTGCCTCTCTGAGATAGGGGGTTTTTACCCCAGCACCTGGCTTCTGAGTCTTTATTGATAAAATCAAACGTTTGGAATTTTCTTTTTTATGACAGCATTTTGTGGTCATTTATTTATTTACTTATTTATTTTATGTATATGGATGCTTTAGCTGTCTTTATATATGTGCACCATATGCATACCTGGTATTTGGTCCCTGTGGGAAAGGGCATAGGATTCTCTGGAACTAGAATTACAGGTGATTGTAAGCTGCCTTGAGGATACTGGGAATTGAACTCCTGTCCTATGCAAGAGCAACAGGTGCTCTAAACTGCTGCGCCATCCATCGCTCTAGTCCCAAGAGGATGATTATATTGACCATCATAGTATTCACACAGGATGCTTTCCAGATACTTACATCTTTGTTACTTTGTTCAGTTATGTTTTGTAGTTAAAAAATATCCTCCTCAGATTGTACAGACAGTTGCTGTTTTGCTTATTTATTTTCTGTGCTGCTACCCATTTATTAGCCCTAGTTATTTTGTAGATTTCATAGAATTTTTTATAGACAAGATGTTAGTTTTTGTTCCCCAGTCTGAATATCTTTTATATCATTTTTTTTGTCAGTTACTCTGTTTGGAATCTCCATTACAGCATTTAATATAGAAATAGTGAGGGCAGGCATCCTTATCTTTCATGTTCCTGATTACACTTTAGATATCTCACCATTAAGTGTGCTGCCAGGTGCGGGTCCTGTTAATGCTTTTTATCAATTTGAGGAAGATCTTCTCTCTTCCTTTTTTTTATTCAGTGCTTTTTCCATCAAAGTATGTTGGGTTTTGTTACATCCATTTGCACATGTGTTAAAAATAGCATATAGCTTTTATTCTCTATTCTCATTAATAAAGTGTGTTTTAAGTCAAGTATACATTCTAGGATAAATCCTACTGGATCATAAAAAAAAGTTTCAAGATCCAACCTGATCGTCCTCAAGCATTTACTTTGGCAATTTACTGAAGAGACTCAAAAACCACTAACACTCATAGCTGCCATTTATCACATTTGGGGACCCAGATGAAATCAGCAGGAGTTGCCTGGACATAAGACCTTGGTTTTTATTTTCTTTTTTGTTAGTGTCAGGCATTTTCATAAGCTTGTTGAGGAATTTTTTTTTTTTCTGAGAGCTCCTGTAAGCAAACTTAGATAGGTCACCTGAAATTGTCTGCTGCTGCTGTGGTCACCTTCAGATCCTGCCATGACTGGTGATTCACATTGTACGCTGAGGCTGCATTTGATTTATATAGTCCCTTTCTGCACTGGCCTCTAACACTGGAAAGTGAGGGATGTTGGTGGAGGCAGAAGCTCAGGCTCCCCTTGGCCTTTGTTAATACCTGGGAGGAGACTGTTCTTGTACATCAGAGGAGAGCAGCATTACCTGTCAGGCTCCTTGTAACCTTTGCCTTCTCTCTTTTACTTGACGCCTCTTGGAATTTCTGGATACTGGACTATTTTCATGTTGGGAATACAGTAAAGAAGAATAAAACCCAGTAGCCCCCACCCCACATGATTTTCCTGGATCTCATGACCCTGGCTAGTCAGCTATCCTGTGCCCTCTGTCCACAGATATTTGTATTTCTTTCTTTTTTCTTTTTCTTTTCTTTTTTTCTTCTTGGTTTTTCAAGACAGGGTTTCTCTGTGTAGCCTTGGCTGTTCTGGACTCTATATGCCTGCCTCTGCCTCCCAGAATGGTGGGATTACAGGTGTGTGCCACTGTGCCCAGTGTGTTTATTTTTCTTAAACAGCAAACTTCTAATTGTACTTCATATGAAGAATGGGGAGAGCTTATACCTATCTCTTCATCATCTTCCAGGCTCTTCTAACGGTTCATGTGACTGATAGTTACTTCTTATCTATTAAAAGTTTGTGCTACTTGGTATTGACTATATCTGTATAAGATACGGAAAGGTATTTTTTAAAGGCAAACAGGTGAGGAGCAGTGGATTCCTTTGCCTGTGATAGTAACTTGCTGTCTTCCTTACCTAGGTAGGAGCAAACACTATGGATAACCCCTTGTTGAAATACAGTGCAAAGGATTACTTCTTCAAGGCAGCACTCTGTCACTTTATAGTGGATGAGCTGAATGCCAAGGTGAGAACATGCACCTTTCTGATGACTTTACTGTTGAGAGCAGGCGCTTTGTCATCCTTAATGTCTTCTCGTACAGGTGTTAGGAGCTGTGGAGGTGCAGACCAGAGGTCAGATGCCCAGCACCATGTAAAAGCCAGGTGCAGTGACTCACACCTCTGATTCCAGCACTGAGGAGCAGGGCAGGCATAAGTAGATTTCTGCAGCTCGATGACCAGCCATTCTAGCCAAGTGATGGGCTTCAGGTTCAGGAGGCCCCATTCAAAAAATAAGATGGGAGAGCAGGGTGTGGTGGCACATGCCATTAGTCCCAGCACTCAGGAGGCAGAGGCAGGCAGATCTCTGTGAGTTCGAGGACAGCCAAGGCTACACAGAGAAACCCTGTCCCAAAAAACATAGATAGATAGATAGATAGATAGATAGATAGATAGATAGATAGATA